TCGCCCCGCCCCCACCCCACCCCACCCCCTGCTATTTTTAGCGCTTCCGCTGCGGAGCTCGCCCAAGTGACCTTGAGACACGCAGCAGAGAACAACACCGAGAAATGTCAAACCACAGGTCCTTTCCCCACTCTTCTTTTAAGTTTCTAGGTTTGTACGATTCCTGGTTGACCCCAAAGCAGACAGGGTCAAATGGGGCGCCGCGGGTTATCACGGTGGGGTTGACAAGGCGCTGGTTGCAGAGGCCGCGCTCGCTCTGCAGCCTGTTGGGGACGAACTCGACGGGCAGGGACTGTGAGACCCGTCATCACCAGTAAAAATATGGGGCCACCAAGGGATGGCCCCGTGAGTTTGACAAGATCAACAGCAAAAAGGGTGATGGGAGTTGGGAAATACACTGAATGGGAAGCGCGGGGTCACGTTCGGGGTCAGGCTCTGTTGGGAGCATCACTTATGCCTCCGAGCGTATTTCTCACTCTGTAAATTAAAAGAGTTGAACTAGACCCGTTTTGTACAGACCTTTGATCTGGAGCACACACAACTGAAACAAAAGTTCCACGAAACAGTTTATGCTTTGCTTTTCTATTGTTTCATTTTCTATTTCAATTTTTTAAAATTCTGATCATGACCCACTAAAATGAACTCAAAACCCACTATAATTGATTAAATGGTCAATTTTATATTGTGTTTATTTTCCTACAATAAAGAAAAATTTAACCAACCCATTGTAGATTTCAACCTAAAGGTTGAAAAATACTGGGTTACACATATTTTGGTTCTCTTCCAATTATTTTCAAACGTAATTGTGCAATCACAGGGGAAAAGTTCCTCTTTGACAAAACACTGTTTAAATTTTATTGTCAGTTTTTTAAAAAAACTAAGTTTTAAAATGTTTTCTCTCTTGTTCTCTCTCTGTCTTTCAAAAATCAGCTAAGAATAGTATCAACTGAAGCTGAACCTAGACATCCAGGGCCCAGCAATTTCTGCCCTGGCCATATCCCAATGCAGAGGGGTATGTAAGCTCACTAAATGACATACACAGGAATGTTCACAGCAGCACTATGTGTAACAGCCCCAGACGAGGTACAACTCAGATATTTATCAAAAGGAGCATGAGTAAATCACGCTGGTGCATCCAAACAAAGGAGTGTCACATAGCGATGAGAGTGAGGCAGCCAGAGCTGAAAGATCACGTACTGTGTGATTGCATTTATATAAAGTTTAAAACCAGGCAGAAATCATCTAAGGCATAGTGCTAACCTGGGTGGGTAGAGACTAGAAGGGGCTTCTAGGTGCACAAAACGTTCTGTTTTTGATCAGAGTGCTAGTTACATGGGCGTGTTTACTTTGTGAAATTCATTGAGTTTGTGATTTGTGCTCTTTCTGTAAGTATTGTCAGGGCTCAGAATATGATACACCAAAATATGGCCCCTTGGTTTATTGAGTGTTTTAAACTGAAGGAAGCTGAGAAAACCACAGAGGCAGGAAAGTCACCTTCTCTTGCCTTTCTCCACTGAAGCACAGCCATAAAAGACTTCTCTGACCTACGTCCCCTGAGTAGGTCATAAGACCCTCATGTGACAGGTGTCCTGCCCTATACCTGGAGACTGCAAGGGCCAAGGGGAAACTTCCTCTTCACCCCTGAAGGTTCAATTAAAAAAAAAAAATCAACTGTCGATATTCAATTAATATGAAGAAAAGGCATAACAAATTTTATTATTTTAACGTGCATGAGGGAATCACAAAATTTCCCCCAAATCTCAATAATCCAGTGGGGTACAGAAGTTTATATACTAGTGTTCATAAGAGAGACCGGGCAGCGGGGTCGGGAGGGCGGGTACCAGCCCCAGACAATGGCCTGGGAGCCCGGGAGGTGACATCATAGGTGAAAGAAGGAAGGCAGAAGTTAAAGTTAAGCAGAGACCGTGTTCTGCAGGCGAAAATATCTCAGGTAAAGTCGCAGCTGCCCTCGGGAAGAATAGAGAATGGAGCAAGGAGGAGCCTCAGAGGACGCCAGGCTCTTGGCAGCTACAGATGTAAATTTCTTTCCACAAAAAAACAGCCTTCTAGCTAACCTTGTTTTTCCATTTCTCTGGAATTAGCCATCTCGAAATATGTCAAAGAAGTAGATTTGGGGCTGAAAGATCTTGCTTTCCCTTAAGGCCAAGAAGAATCTGAACAAACAGATTGCTAAATTCCCCCCCGTTTGTGACTCTTCGGTCCTACCCCTCTGTCCAATCACACTTCTGCACGACGGTCCCCTGTACATCAAAACTAAGCACAGAAATATCCAGTCTTCCTGCTTCTTTGGGTCTCCATTTCTGAAGGCTTGCATCATGTAAACTTACATTAAATACATTTGTTACGCTTTTCTCTTGTTAGTCTGTCCTTCGTTGTATGGGGCATTGTCTTTTCCTTGTGATGGGTAAGGAAAAGATGCTCCTTTTCTCCTCTGTAGAATGTTATACATCAATAAAAAAGCTTACAAAACAACAAAGGAGATACTTGCAGGGGAAAAGAACTGTCTTTCCTCACTCATTGCTAGGTTCATGGCCGAGGCCCCTGTAACAAAAGACAGGTTGACAAGAGAACAGCATACGAATTAATTTAAGCTCAGTGACACAGGGCTCTTCATAAAGGAATGAAGTCCCAGAGACTTCATTGGAAAACCAGTGTGTTTTCATGCCTACCTTTGATGAAGAGCAGATAGTTGTGGAGAAATGTGATTGGAGGACAGAAGGGTGTGACCTAATTAAACTGGGGGACTCAGCAAAGCCCGTTTGTTCCGAGTCTTCTCTGTGTCCCCATGTCCCCAGAGATAAGGATGCTCCCTTCCTCCAGGACTAGAGTGGGCATCTCTCACATGAGGGTCTCACGGCCTGCCTCAGAGGAGAAGGGTGAGGGGAGGGTGAGAGTGACATTCCCACTTCAGCTGTTTTCTCAAATGTCAAGGGGCCGCATTTGGGGTAGTGTGACCTGAACCCCATCGTACTCTGTTGGGGCTGAAGCCTCGCAGTAGGGAAGCTTTAGAAAGAAGAAAGTGTGCATTCACCCTGCACACACTGGTCCTGGTGACGGGGACAGGCACCGCATCCCCAGCTGCTGGGAGAGCTGGGGCCCCAAGGAAAGTGTGACCTGGCGATTACAGTCTCATCCGATGCTGCCCACTCTGCACCTCAGGGCTGTGGCCCGGCCTCTGAAGTCGCAGCACACAGCAGGACCGCAGATCGGGCTGATCAGGGTGGGGGTTGAGTTGAGCCCAGGGATCTCCCCAGGAGTTGCTTTTCTGACTAGATCTCTCCTTGGGGCATTTTCTTGTGACATTTCCACCAGCCGTCATCATCGGCCACACCACTGTCTGGCGATTCCCTGGCCCCCTCTGTCAACCTGACGGCACACGCTCTCGGCTCCACAGCCCCAAGCAAGCGTGGGGTTTTTTTGTCTCTCAGGTCATCGACTGTACCTTGAACAAAGAAAGTGCTTAAGTCACAACTGTTGACTAAAAGCGAGGAAGAAGAAACAGTTCGGTTACGTGGTCACTTCCTCCTGAGGGAAGAGTGCAGGGAAGAAGCCAGGGCCGGTCTCGTGCACGGACAGTGTCCCACACTCATGCACTGTGTGGCAGCCGAGGCGCCGCGTCCTTTCCTTCTTGAAGAGCATTTGCTCGGGAGGCCTCCGCTGGCCTGGGTTTCAGTGGTGCTGGCAGCCACCCGGGTGGCTAGATGACTCGTTCTCCTCTCTGGGCCGCAGCTTCCTCATCTGCAACATGGGAGGCCTGGATAGGAGCCTCGATCGGGTTCCTCTGTATGGTGACTTTGTGAGGCCCAGGGAGGAGGTAAGGGGTGGCCTCTCACCCCGGCTGTCAGCGCTGTGCTGAACACCATGAGGTTCTCAGGCATCCCAACTTCCCACTTGATCTAAAAGCTCCTTGCAGGCTATGCAGTGGCTTAGGCTAGTCACGTCCCCTCCTCAGTGGCCAGCCCAGGGCACAGAGCAGATGCTCGATGAATCCCCGTGGGAGGAAGGCTGTGGAAGATGGGCTGGGATAGCACCGACCACTGCTCTGCACTTCTTACAAGCACCTCTTCTGTACCGCCCCGTGTCAGGTGTCAGGTCCCAGGCCCCAGGCCCCAGAGAGATGAGCAAGAGCCTGACGCTTCCCTAAATGGCTCCCAATCTGAGACAGGAGTCATTGCAGCGCACACTGACATATAGACGCGTAGGGTGCTATGGGGGGTTAGAAGCGGAGCATCCAGTCAGGTTGGGGGTAGGGTCAGTCAAGGAAGACTGCCTGGAGGAGGGCTGTCTTGAGTGAGTAGTCCAGTGGAGTTGACCAGGATATTCAGGAAGGGAAACGCATTTCAGGCAGAGAGAGCAGCATGCCAGCTCACAGAATTAAGATTGTGTCCTAAAGAAAAGCGGGGGCCATGGAAGGATCTCAGGCAGTGAATAACACCATCAGATGTGCATTTTAACAAACTCAGTCTTAAAGCAAGATGTAGAATATGAAATGGATTGAGGAGCCAAGATTGGAGGCCGGGAAGCGAGAAGCTGTGGCTGTCCTCCTGGAGAGAGATGGCGAGGCTTGGACTAAGGCCACGGCCACCAGGGTGTAGCCGAGCAGATGGATGAGAACACAGAACCAGGTGACTTGGGGGGATGGCGCCATGCAGGTGAGGGACGGAGGCTTGCAGGATGGCCTCAGGAGGTGCTTCCTGGGGAAGGGCTAATCCGGGAGGTGGAGGGGGCCTGAGGGTGGAGCATGTGGTCCGATTCCAGCACCCCTGGGCAGTAGCCAGGAGACAGCAGGACGCATGAGTCCTGGGCTGGAGAGAGGCACAGTTCGTAGTGAGGGAGTCATTGCTTGGTTTCCTTGCCTCTCTCCCCAGCACGTGGCAGGATTTCACTCCTGAAGTTAGGTGTGGTCATGTTGTTGTGGGAAAACTGCACGTTTCCTGGTCAGGGAACCAATATGTTGTGGGAAAGTGCAGGTTCTGCCAGATAAATCCGGGTTCTTGGTGTCTTGAACAAAAAATTGGACAAGACACCCAGAAGTGAAAAGTGAAGGACAGTTTATTTAGTACAGACAGAGCGTGCATTCCAGAGAGAACGGAGTGGGCTTGAGCTTTTTTTTTTTTTTTGGCAACAAGTGATCTTTATTAGGAGGCTCCTTAGGGTCAGGGCGCCAAGGAGAAGAGAGGGGTGGCCTGGCCCAGGCACAGCTGCAGCCTTAATGACTTCAGAGCTGGGAGCGAGGTGGCGCAGGCACAGGCAGGTCAGTCCCGGGCAGGGTGGGCCGCGGGGAGCCTCAGGCCACAGGGAAGTAGTGGGGCAGCCGGTGCCGGTCGATGTTCTCGTGCTTCTTGAGGACCACGCAGATAATCAGCCGATCCACCTTGGCTCTAGGACACCCACAGTTCTATTCCTGGGGGCCTAAGTCCTGCCCGCTGGATGCAGGCTGTTTGGCCATTGGCTGAGCCCTGGTGGTCTCTGTTGATTGGCACCTCAGCTTGTGGGAGCTCACTGGTCCAACCGAACGGTGCTCTGTGTGGGGAGAGAGCTCCCTGTCCTTGTCGCCTGTGGCTGTGCGTGCACGGAAGCAGTGTACAGGCTGTGCTACTTGCCAGTGGCCAGGTTTCCTCTTCCCCTCTTGTCCTTTTCTTTTTCTTTTTTTTTTTTTTTTGTCTTTTTGTCTTTTTCTGTGTCCAGCAACGGATCACAACCCTCAGTGTTGCTCCCGCACCGGACCGGGGACCGGCAACGGGATTGCAACCCTCGGTGCTGCACCCGCGCCTCGCTCAGCCAGCGAGTGGGAACCGGTCTGTATGTGGGATCCGAACCCTCGGGCGGGAGCGCTGCCGCGCTTCCCAAGCGGCGCACTATCCAGTGCGCTACCGGGCCGGCCCCCCTCTTGTCCTTTTCTATTCTCCCACAACAGTGTGACTTGTGTTGGTCAATAAAATTGGAGCGAAAATGACATGGACACTTCTGGGTGAAAGATTAAAGATTCAGAGCACAGCCACCACTGTCTCTGCTTCTGCTCCAGTGTTGGAAATGTTCAGCACGTTGTTCTCAGCCTCATCTTTGATCTCTGGGAACCCCCTGACTCCCCAGGAGCGGGAAGAGCCTGCTCGTGTGTGTCCCTTAGCACCCTGCACCTGCCCCCTGTGCGGTGCGCCTGTCTCTCCACAGAGGCCTCGCCTGTCCACTTCCCCAGAAGGAAGGGTCCTGTCTCTGTTGTGTCCTTAGTTCTGGAAGCTCAGCATAGTGTAGACAGGCAGTGAACGTCAAATGAATGAGCCAGTAAGTACCGTATTGAGTGCAAGAAGTCCTATCGATGATTAAATATGTGCGGGGGACACATACATCCGTACACACCCCCCAATCCTTTTCCTCATCAAAGAAAGAAGAGAGAGAGAGGGAGAGAGAGAGAGAGAGAGCCTTTACAGAGCCCCAGGATGGCGGCTGTGCCCTGAGCTAAACTACCCTGTGCACGTCTGCTCACGCTTGGGGCTGAAGCAGCTCAGGGAAGGCAGACGGCAGGCCACAGAGATGAGGTAAGGCTGCCACCTCTGCTTTCCTGGGGCGAGCACAGATCAGGTCAGAAATCAGTGCCCTGTGATGCTGTTTCAAGGGTAACTGCCCAGGGGGTCGGCCAAGCTCAGACCTCACCAGCCACAGCCACCCCATCAGCAGCCCTGGGGACTCCACTCGCCCCCCAGGAGCAGCAGCCCAAAGTCTTCCTGCCCTTCCCATCTGGGAGACACCATTCCTTGGCCACTCCCTGCCTCCAACCCCAAATGCAACGTCCTTGTAATGGAACCCATCAGAAAAGCCTGGGCCTTCGATGCAGCTGGCTGTGGAGCCTTGGGCAAATCCCTTAACTTCTCTGAGCCTCATTTTCCTCATCTATAAAATGAGGATACAAAATAAGAATCAAGTGAGGATAATAATGGATCTTTGAGGATGAAGTGAAGTCTAAATAAACATAGCTACAAGTGTCTGACACAGAGGGGGTTCTCAGTGACAGGTGTCATTATTGTCGCTGTAATTGCTACTGGTTTCTTGGCTCTGAGCGGCAGGGAGCCTCTGTGCTCTCTGACACTTGCACAGGGCCAGGCAGAAGATGACAAATGGATTAGAGGCAGGAGGTTTACGAGGCCACCTGCAGGGAGAATCAGGACAGTCGATAAGTTGAGAAGTCACACTTTACGTCCTAATTCCAGTCTCTGGAGAGTCATATTTGGGGGCATTGTGGGGGCACAAATGTGTGACCCCTTTCCTCCCTGTAATAAGGGTCACAGCTGACACTCCTACAACAAAAGACAGGTTAACAAGAGAAAAGCCTAGCAAATGCATTTAACCAGAGTTTTCTGTGACATGGGAGCCTTCAGAAGTGAAGACCCAAAGACGCAGGGAAGACTGTCTGTTTTATGCTTAGGGTAGGTAAAGAACGGTCAGCTGTGCAGAGGCGTGACTGGACAGAAGGGTGTGACCTAGGGATGACAGACCGAGGGGGGACCAGCAGGCCTGTCTGTGCAGCTTCTTCTTGGCCTCTCCGTGCTCCCGGGTATGGGGCAGGATCCCTCTGGAATGAGGGTCTTCAAGGGAGAAGGGAGAAAAGAGTGACCTTCCTAGGTTTTCTGGCTTGTTTGGGGGAGAAGGGTTCTAGTGGCTGTGACCTGCCCTGGAGAAGAGGAATTCTGCATTCTATGACTCCCTTCACGGGAGAAAGAGGGGTGCCAGACAGGAGGGCAGGAGAGGGTCAGAGAAACCTTGCTTCCGAGACCTTCCGATCTCCTTTAGTTCAAAGTACTCAGCATGCCCAAATGCCATACTTTGGGGTACAATTTCTGAGCCCCAACATCTTCACGAGTTTGGTGCTGAGAGGAGGTAGAAGGGTAGGCAGTAAAGCCTGTTGCATTGTGAGGGTGGCTTTGAGCTGGAGGAGGGTTTCCAGCAGCCATGGTTTCAGTCCTGTCTTGATGGGTAAACTGGGAGGTTCGGGGAAAAGATCCTGTGCCTCGGTTTCCCCACTTATATGACAAAGATGTTAGACTAGATCCAGGGCCACCTACTTTTTCTTGTGCCATGGACTGCTAAGTGAAGCCTGTGGACCGTTTCTCAGAGTAATTTTAAATGCATAAAGTACAAAAACCCTCCCATATTAAAATAGTTATCAAAATGTTAAATAGCAGATTTTTGATGTCATATTATATATACTTCTTTATTGACTAGTGACATGGCTAATAATGACTGTAATTCTAAAGTAGTGAAGAGCATAAAGGCTGGCTGCATCGCCTGCAACAGGCTATGAAAAGGTCTGTGGTTTACATCAGC